TAGTGAAACAGTGACGGTTCTGTCTGAGTAAGAGCTAAGTGCTCCTGAAAATATTGAGTTCTGCTGCACTCTTAAGAATGCAGGTGCCAAAAAAGGTTCTCTGAAGCAGTTCCGCTAAAGAACCACAGTTGCGTCCCTACAGAGACCTTACAGTTAGTGGTCCTTTAAAGAATGTGAAGAACCTCAACTGATTTTTCTCTAATGTCTATTAATTTAATGGTTAAGTTGTAAACAAAGGCATTCAGAGCGGTTTGATGTGAAGTGTTTAGTTTTTAATGTAACAAGATTGAATTCCAAGTAATTATGAACCATTTCTGATCTCAGAGTGTGTAAAAATACTGTAACAGAAAAAATTGGAGTGTTTTTATATGGCAGTACAGTATTCGTCTTTCAGTTATGTGCTGCCAGGTAGGACCAAGAGATATCTAAAAATGATTAGCATGAAACTGAGATTAATACAGTTTTTATCTGACCAAGTTCAACGCTATATTTAGCATTAGCTTTTTTGAGTGAATTTAATAAGGAAAAAAATGAGATTTTTTATTAAATAATTAAAAGTCAGCACTATTGGTAATAAACTATTTCACCTCTTGTTTTATAATTGGAGGTCGGCTCTCTGGGAATCATTAATGAAAGACCTGACATCACTAGAAAAGCTTACACTGAAAGGCTTCTAAAAAACAGTACTGGGTTTGAATTTTAAACGTGATTAAATAACACAGGAAACGTGTACAAGGAGATATAGTGTATATATACAATGCTCTGTCTAGTCTCCCAGTCATCAGTGTACCCCCTGATTGTGCCCCCTCCTTATTATTATTGTTATCATTATTATTGTTTTGTATGTATGCATATATGATTTATTTATATATTTATTTCCTGATACATAATTGCAGATTGTAGCTGTAGATTACTGTGTTTTATAAAAGGAGTTAATAATGAAATAAAATTAGAGATGAAAGATGGTGGTCTAGAACCACCTCCACATGCCTTACATGTAAGTAAATAAATAAACAAGCAAACAAACAAGTAAATAAATAAATTCAGGTGTTTCAATGTTTACAGCAGCGCTTCGGAGTCTGGCTAGATGCCTTTTAATCAGTCAAAAAGAGAATAAATTTATTCCTTTTACTGATAAAGATGGATTATTACAGGACCTTAATAAGCTGTTTTACTGTGCTGTAAAATTATGAAAAATATATATATTTTCTGATGGTTTCCAACAGGCATTTAGCCAAATACCAAGCGCTGCTACAAACAATGGAAAGAGCTGGCTTTATTTATTTATTTATTTATTTATTTATTTATTTATTAACATACATGTAAGGCATGTGGATTTAGACTGTGGATTTAGACCACCACCTTTCATCTCCAATCGAATTTTTTTATCAACTCTTTTTATAAAATATATATATTGTTGCCGTCCAAAGGAAAATGAGTATCTTCACAGTGGTAACTTTACAGGAGAGGGCAAAAAAACCTTCTTTACTTTTAATGTAAGTTAAAGCAAAGAAATTTTATTCTAAGTGATTTTGGAGCCTTTCTATTGGTCCATTTATTGTGAAATGTTCACACAATGTTAAGTACAGCTGCTGTGTTCAAGTTATGTAGAAAAAAAATCAACAAAAATGGAGATACATTTGTCTTTGAACAGTGACGATATATTATTTAATATTTAACAAGCTATTTAAAATTAAATTAGTCCTCTCTAGTTCATTATCATAGACCAATTTCAGTGCCCAAAACAGGCAATTATTATTGAAGCATCTTTAAGTTTCTTGTCAGTCATCAGAGATATCTGATGGTCTCAGATAGAGACAAAAAAACATAAATAATGAGTGTGACTTGTAATATTAGGTCATTGGAATAATACCTGCGAAGGAGATACTGATGTAATCTTTTAAAGTGCTTATTTGTGGTGTGTGTATATATTACTGTGCTTGTGTGAGTGTCTGCGCTGTCTTTATCACATTGACATTCAGGGAGGTATCAGCAGAGCCCGTCTCTCTGTTTGTCCCAACAACAGCTTGTAATTGCATTTTAATAGACAATTAAAGGCAGGCCATAAATCAATTCTCGCACTGGGCAGGAGGTTTGCATTTAATTTTGCGAAAAACAAACAGTTTTTATCATGTCAAACCCAATTAACCCGTGCCTCTCTATCACTGCGTGGTGCACCTCGCTCTCTCAGAGTAAGGGGGGGGTATACGTCTGTGAAGAGAGGGACTTGGGGTGGGGGGTGCTTTATTTAGCAAGTTATGAAGGATGATGAATGTAGATTAGTAGATTACTGATGAGTACAGTGAGGCTGTAGCAGCGTTTGCCTTCATATGTGTTCTGTATTCTGTCAAAGGAAGCTGTTGCACTTTGTAAAACATCCGTTAATTGGAAGGTATTTATGGGCAGCCCATATGTAGTTACAGCGCGAGAGAGACAGAGTGTGTGAGTATGTGTTATTACGGATTTACCAGGTTCTTTGAGTTCATCTGAAGATGGTAGAGAAATGGATGAATAAATAGACTACGGCAGAGGAAGTATATGATTTCAGACGCTTTTCAGGCATTTCAGCTTATCAAGACTGAGCCAAAATATCACAGTAATGGGGAAAACTTTCCTTTCTTCACTACTTTTACTTCACATCCTGCTGCATTCAGCATCTCATACGATTTCACTTTCTTGAAGACACAGTGAACAGAGAGAGAGAGAGAGAGAGAGAGAGAGACAGAGTACACCACTACATAGTAAAACATCACTTTGCTATTGTGTACGTGTCCCCGGGGACTTAGGGTTGGGGTTATATTACCTCCCCTAGACGTTTCCTTTAGGATAGTAGGTTAACTGCCTGCTTCACAGCACTAAGTTCTACCAAACATTAAACATCAGCAACACACCAGAAACTAAAGGACTGATTTTCTATATTATACATAGACTCACCATCCACTTTCTGTGACATCTGAGCTCCTTATAGGGCCACTGAAGTTGTAGCTTACTATACTTTATAAAAAGAGACTCTTGCTGACCTTAATGAAGTAATGTAGGGCTGTAGGCATCCCTTTTTACCTAACAGAGCTGGTGTAGCAGGACCCCCTCCTTATTATTATTACCATTATTATTATTATTATTTTGTATGTATGTATGATTTCTTTATTTATTCCTCTTTTTACCTTCTTATAATACAGAATTGCAGATTGAAGCTGTAGATTGCTATACTTTATAAAAAGAGTTTATAAAAAAATAAAATTGAAGATGAAAGGTGGTGGTCTAAATCCATGTCTACATGCCTTACATGTAAATAGAATAAAAAAAATAATAAAGAAAGAAAGAAATATGAGTTTTTCTATCGTACGTAGACTCACCGTCCACTTTCACTGACCACTGGGCTCCTTATAGGGCCACTACCCAGGAGTGCAATTTAGGGATGTTCACTAATTTTAAAATTCAAGTGTCTGCATGGGTTAATGAACGGATAACTGTTTAACAGAAAGTGAGGGACAAAAACATTTCATATGTTTTATTTGAAGCTTGTAACAGACATACGTGTGTGTGTGTGTGTGTGTGTGTGTGTGTGTGTGTGTATATATATATATATATATATATATATATATACACACACACACATACATACATACACATATATACATATATATATATATATATTTTTTTTATTATTATTTATTTATTTATTTTTTACCTTGTTTTATAGTCATTCTTTCAGTACAGATGCTGCCACCACTGTTTTCCATTTCTAATAATTGACTGAAACCTGGTTAGACTACGGCTTGTATTCAGTCAGTGGCATATCTAGAACCAGACGCCCTCTGGTGATGTTTTTTTCTTACAAATCTTCTGTAAATCAAAACATGATGATTGATTCCTCATTAAATTGCGAGTTATTCTAAAGTATTAGGCCTTCAGTCCAGCTCCTGAAGTCCTAACCAATGGGAAAGCTCGTTTGCCTGTAAATCCATAGATACCACAGGGTAAAAAAACAAATATCTAATTGGACAATTCTCAACTTAATGCTTGTGTTTCCAATTAGAACATAAACGTACAACAGTAATTGCAGATATTAAATATAACAAGTGTTATGTCGATATTTAATTGAAATACACTAAAATTTCAGGTATTTGTAAATGTTTTGCTTTCACAGAAATCATTAGACCTTCTCTGAAGGGCTTGAAGGTGCTGAGGGTTCCCCCTGAAAATTAAATGTGAAGTGTATTTACTGGCCACTTTATTAGAATCACCAACCTTGTAGATCCACCTTGATGGCGTTTAGTTATAGACTGTAGCTTATTGTCATGCACAGTTTGTCCATCCCCTTCTACCCCTTTCATCACTGGTTAGTTTCTGACCGCAGGGCCATTCTACCCATAAAGGAAGGTAGAGCTAAAAGGTAGGAGTTTCTAATAAAATGTCCAACAAGTGCAGCCAATTACAAGAGCTCCACTTTGTTTCATAGTGCTCCATGCATATGCTGGGCGCTGCGGACAGGTAGCTCATAATGCATTCCTAAGGGGTTATTCATTGAACAGGACAGCCATCAAAATCCAATTATTTGGCACCTTTTCTGCTACCTCAACATTTTCCGTTATTCAAGTTCCTTTAGAAGCGGACTTTTGTGTGCAGATTTGAGACTGGAGATGTATTAAAATGCTAATTACTGGTATCTGTGGCGGCTCTGAGGAGCGGAGCAGGGCAGCGTTGTTCAGACGCCTTTGTGCTTCATTATTGACAGGGTTAATGGCTTACAGGAGTTCCGTACGCACGCGATAGCCATCTCACCCGCTAATTGATTTTGGGCGCTTATTGCCCACTTTGATACCTGCTGTTGTATTGCATTATGGGGATGAATGGACGCAGAATATAATGAGGCTGTCCTCAGAAGAGAGGCAACCTTTGAGTGCAGAGGGAATCAGATTACTGCCTGCAATTGATGTTTGTTGGAGCGTGTGTGTGTGTGTGTTGGTATTGACATTTCAGTCTTCTTGTTTTTGCAGTCTGAAGATGGCGACGATGAGAACCTGATGGAGAACCCATACTCTCTTCCTCTGGAGTTTGTGGACGACCCCAACTTCAAAAACAAAGTCAACTACTCCTACACTGCGGTGCAGATTCCAACTGACATCTACAAGGGCTGTGAGTGCTGATCTCTCTACAGCTTACCACTGATTATCGTCCCACTGTACATTTTCAAAGAGTGCATGCACAGAATTAAGGCTGTCACTGTTAATTATATTAATAATTAGATAAGCCATGCAATATTTTTGACTCTTTATTGAGAAATCAGAGTTTTTAGAAATAGGTCAAACTGTAAAAATGGACTTAAACAATAATAAACCATGTAAAGTCTAGCAAAGACTCAAATAGTTTGCTGGAAAAAAAAATATGAAAATGACCAACTAGTCAGTGCCACTTCGTCAATTTATCAAAGTACATTTCATCATTTTATCAATAAATCAAACTTAATGGAGTAATAATAATCATGGATTAATTTACACTTGTCTTTAAGGTCAACTCATGTCTTTTTGTGTGGTTTGTTTAATAGAGTATGTGGGTCAATGACATGATGAAAATTGTGTTCATTATTTTCCTATTAAGCAATTCAATGGACACATCACATCATATTATTCTGCAATACATTTTCAGTGCATGAAAATAAAATTTAAAATCTAAAAACGACAGGTGGCCGTCCAACCATATATACAGTTTTAATAAGCTATTAAAGTATAACATTTAAAAATATGGTGGCTTTAAAAGCATTCAAGTCAAACTTTTGTCTGTAGATTCTGATTTCCTCAAATGCCACACGGCACAACAGATAACAAAGGGCTTTTATTCTGACATGCTTTTAAGAAGCACTGACAAGTATTGCATCATAAAGAAGATCACAAGTGACCTTCATTGTGCAATACCAAGATCAGTAGCTCTTTCACAAATATTGAAAAAATATAGTTTGGCTGGTTCAGTTTTTTCCATGGAAAACCATAAATATGCATTGTTGTAGTTGTTGTTATGTTTATTTATTTGAAAAAAAAAAAAAGTACAATCCTGTCTAAAGTGCCTAAGAACAAAGACTAGTTTATGCCCATTTTTGTTGGTGCAGAATGTGGATTTGGTTATAAAAGCTGTGAAACAAATATTAATACATTGAAGAGATTCTCGTGGACACGAAATGCACATAATATTCTTTTTCTCACAATTTTTTTTAATGATCATTTAGAAATTCTTATTTGTCGTTTATATATGTCCTTTATCGGTGAGAACATTCATTTGCATTATTAGCTTATTTGACTTAATAATAATTATGCGTTTATTTTGTGTCTCAATGTGTTTGCAACTATAATAACTAGAAAGTGTGCAGTTACAATCACTTAGAATGAGTTAATAATACAAATGAATGTTTTCACTATTAAAGGACACACATATAAACGTGTTTTATAGATGATATAGGCTATATAGGCTATGATATGACAAGGAAAGGTACTCCTGCTACTGTCAGTAGAATGTTTCTCTCTCTCTCTCTCTCTCTCTCTCTCTCTCTCTCTCTCTCAGTACTATTCATAGACAGCCTCATTTGTTTAGCTAACAGATCTCATCTATGATGACATCCCATAGCAGCAAAACATTATCAAACTATTTTGGCTTGAATTTAAGCTGACAAGCCGAGCAGGCCAAAAATATCCTGAGATTGGTCTGATCTGATCTGATGTGGGCTCAGGATTTTGTGGTGGATTTTCCAGCTGACAGTCCCAGCTGAATTGCAGCTTTTTCTCTTTATCCTTTGATAAGATTTCCTGGAATGATATGAGCGCTTCTCTGAAAAAGACAACGCGCTTCGCTCTGAAAAAAATGTGACGGCCCAACAGTGCTACTGTCTGTGTACTACAAAGCCAGTGCATAGATACATATCTGCATTCGTGTCAGTGTTTATTCACATACAGGTGTCACATTTCTGCATTGGTCAGTCATGACAGATGAAAATTCCAAACGCAGTGTAGTTTCTCTTGTGTTTAATATGGCAGATTTGTTTAATACAGTCTTTAAATAGGAAAGTAAGTTGTTTTTTTGAAGATACGGTTCACTTCCACTGTTGGCCTTTTGTCACAGTTTAGACTTAATAACTGTTACTTCCATTGATTTTTCTAAATTTCTGCATAATTAAATCATAAACATGCAAACTAAGTCATTCAGAGTAGTTTGATGAGAAACACTCTCTAGAGAAGCGGAATTATTCACAGTGGTGGTGATAGGAACCAGACGTCTGAAGAGTTTAATGCCTCTAAAAGCTCCTTCACAGACAGTTAGTACATGAAATGGTCAGGAATGCACTGTCTGATGTCTGAGACTTTGTTTTATTATCGTTTTGAGAAAACATTTTGGTCTGAAGTGTGTGTTTTAGGGCATTGAAGTAATGCAAAATAGACCCCAAATATCCCCAACATGTTTTTCACATGTACCACTATTTAGCACATTACATATAAGAACTCAGAACACACTTATAGGTTCACTGATAGTAAATAAAATAGCTATATTTGTGTTGTAGACATTATGACCCCTGGTTCCTATCACCACCACTGTAAAGAAATCAGTAAGTCAGGTCAGTCAAGTTTCACTGCAATGAACCATTTCACATCAAACTACACTGAATGATTTTGTTTACATCCCAGTGACTAAAGTATGCATACATTTTGAAAAATTGATGGAATACCCCTTAAAATATATATCTAAATTATACCCAGTGAACAGTGTATATACTCCTGTTTTTAGCTGCTTACCAAACATTCGGTCATTATGAACCACTCAGAGACTTCCCTGATACATTGCGAGCCTTTTTTAAGACCTTAAGCTTGATGTAACAGTGCCTTTTTCTTTAGTTTAACCTGCTCTTCTCTGTTAAGCAAGCTTTTCTAAGTGCTGCTGCAGCATTTTGTTTTGAAATGTAAAGAATCTTAAAGCCAAACATTCTGAGATGTTTGTTCAGTTTGTATCACAAAATACATTTTCTTATTGAACAAGAAAACACATGAATGGGACGAATGAAAGATCACACATCAGATGCTTTTTATTGTTACTCTGAGTAAATAAGTAACAATAAGCACTTACCGATCTAAGTTGTGCTCTGAATGAGCTCAAATGCTCACTTGGAATAAACACAACAAGAAGAAAGCCTTATGCATCTTTTATACAGTAATAGGAAACACAGTATAACAGAAAAATATGCTGAAATTCGTAAAACTTACTCCTCCCGCAGGAGATTTACATGAGCGGTTTTCGTCGGGTTCATGGAATCAAGCAATTTTCGATTCTGTTGATATCATTATGCATCCCTAACTTGAATCATGTGAATTCTAAGCAGTGCAGGAGCTTATTTACTACTTAAATCAGCCATAAAGTCATTCAGTCAGGCTTAAAAAAGTCAGAAGGCAGATCAAGATGTGCTACAGTGGGCCAGAAGGCATTAAGCAAAGCAACATCCTACAGCTTATGTTTCCCATGGGCCTTTGAGGAGGAAGCTTTCTCTCAGCTTCAGGGGTGGATCGATATAATCTGAAATCTCACCAGGCTTTCCCAGCGCTATAATCATTTAGACTGTAAGTGCAGTGACCACTCCAATCAATAGGCACGTGTGAGGTTTCTGCTTTTGGCCTCAGGCGATGGAGAGGCTCATGGGAATTGTAGTTCGGTGTCAGGAAGGAGGCGATGACCCATCTGCCCCACTTTAATTCCACCAGGAGTCATCTGTAGGGCTCAGGACAAAAAGCCCCCTTGTCTGAGGAGGATTAATAATCGCCAGGGAAACAGAGAGGCCGGGACCTTTTTTTCTGTCTGGAAAAGAAGGCCAGGGAGAAGGCCACATTCACATAGGTCAGTGTCCGCTTGAAGGGCTGCTTCTGAAATGAGAAGTGAATAGAGCTTCCTAGTTAGCGATTTGCAGTTCTCAGTGCATTCATGTGTGTTACACAAATGGTGCACTGGAGATGCATACAGAGACCATTATGAATCCTTTATCTAAGCTAATGTTAAGTCTAATGAGGTAATTATGTCACAGACGCAGAGTATAAATGTCTGACTACATTCGTATATTCATGGTAGAGACCTTCATGGTACACAGTGGTATAAAATTTCAACAGTAGTTACTGGTTAAAAGCTATTATAAGCAATTAACAATTAAAAAGACCCCACCTCCATAAGTGGTGGTACAAAATTTATAGGTTCAAAGTGCACTTGTCAAACAGCAGTGGACTGGAAAATTGAGCAACTGCCTGCTAACTAAAACAGCACTACATATAGCTGATCAGGGCTATAATAACATCCCAATAAACCTTGTGATAAATTGTGTCAGTGTATGTTCTGGACCTGGATTCCACCAAAGTCTTTACATTACAAAGGAGGAGGAGACAGTTCAGTGGTTGAAAAGCGAATGACAGTTGTCTGTTGATTAGGAAAGCCCTGCTTTTCAATAAAAAGAGTCTGTCATCTTATTGCTAACATCGCAGATATGCGCAGTAGCCATAAGGATCCCAAAAAAATCCTTGGCCCTGTTTAGCCACTGATTTTTTGTGCGTTATTTGAGCCAAACACTACAAACTGTTGTTATTCTTGCCAGTTTTTACCAGTGATTGTAATTATGCTTTTGAAATGTTGACGTGGCTTTCAGTTTCACGTTTAAAGGTCTTTATAGGCCCCCATTTAAAGAGTGGTTCATATTTGTGTAGGTGATTCAAATCTGTCGTTAATGTGAACAAACCTGTTTACTGAAATGACCCACATGCACCCATCCTAATCAATAGTGTCACGTGAATGAGCTATGTGCGTCATGAATGACAAACTAACCAGCAGAGCAGACCATCGTCGTGTGTTTTCACACGCATCTGAAAAAATGTGATCGGTGTCACGCAAAAATCATAATGAGAATGTAGCCCAAGAAATATTGAAATTCACATTTAGTCAAATTTATATGCAATATATTGTGACAAAGTGCATCAGTTCATGTATCTCTGTAAAGATGTTTTCACTGGATTAGTAAGCAGAAGCTCTTACTTAACACAAACTCACAAACGTTTTGTTATTTGGGAGAAGTCCCGCCCCCCAGCTGAAATGTTGATTTTGATAGGTTCTGCCGCTGAGTCAGACTGTCTGTTTGTGCCTGTAGAAAACCAGCAACACTTGATCACTGAAGAATTCCAGACTTTATTTATTACTAACGCATTTCGGCACATTGTCCTTCGTCATGCCTGTAGGTCAGCAATCTGTACAGTTCAGTGAGAGAGGAGATCTTTTTGCATTCTTTGCATCCTCAGTGAAAAAGTGGTGGGGCGTCGCCACCAGTGCTTTAAAAAGTGGTGGGTCAAATGGGTCAAACCTATAATATCTCACAGCCGTATTGCATTAAAAAGACAAGCTGCTTTAAAAGAGCAATAGAACACAATAACCGGTAGCAAACAGGTCCTCAGCAGGTACATGGACTGTGTCTCAGATACAGTGCAGACTGTTGAGTGACAAAGTTCACCTAAGAGCACTGGTATGATGTCTGAGGTCAGTGCTGGACCCTTAAGTGCCACTCTCTTTCCACTTAATACAGGCATAACCTTGTTCATGTTTCTGAAACGTCTGTCAGGGTGTAAATTTTGTGGTGTTTCAAAAGGTGGCAGTGAATAATTTTCACATCACTGCTCTGTGCTCTAAAGTCTCATAGGGAAATAGTTATGGTGGAGAAGAATGAAACCTGACCGTATAAACCAACTAAATATATTATCGTATGCAAAAGTTTGGGCACCCCGAACAAATGATGTTTTGTTGATTTTGAAATTAAAATAAGTTAAAACATCCTCTACAGAGAACACGTCTGCACATTTTAGTGCACAGTTACTGTTTGTTTGCTGAATTTAGCATATTGGGGGGGAAAAACAAACCAAAAACATGTTAAACTTAATTGTGCACTAAAACTAAAAAAGGCAAATTTACCATTTTGCAAGCACAAATATGCTTTCTAGCATGTGAAAGGGGCAGTTCCACCACACTGTCTACATATTAAATGGTTTAGATGTAAACAAAGTCATTCAGAGTGGTTTGGTGTGAAATGCTCTGTTCTAGAGAAACCTACCAACTCAGAATGGTTCACAGTGGTGGTGATAGGAACCAGACGTCTGAAGAGTTCAATCATTAAATGGTTATGAATCTTTTGCCTGATGCCTGAGACATTGTTGTATAATAGTTTCGAGAAGATTTTGTGCCTAAAGTGTATTTTTAAAATCAGTTAATGATGGCAGAGAGGAACATGCCGGCTATTGCAAGGCAAAAAAATCACGGATAAACTTTTTGTTTTTGCATTTAGCACTATTTTACCATTATCAACATTATTTATAAAAACTCAGACATGTGTAGGATCACTGACGGTTTTGGATAGTAAATAAAATGGCTATATTAGTGTTGTGACCTCTGGTTCCTATCACCACCACTGTGAAGAAATCTGAGTCAATAAATGTCTTTACAATGAACTATTTCAACTACTGAATTGTGCGTTTTGAAAAACCAGTGTAATTCCCTCTTAGGTTGTAAGACACTTATGCTTTTCCGAAACAGAGCTCGACAGTCCGTTCACTCACAAAAATCTTCCAAAATCATTCTAAACCTTTTGGATGTTGATAGCGTAGATCAGCTGAGGGAGAGGATGGAGAGAAAGAGAAAGAAGGATTGAGGATGAGAAACAGAGAGCAGGCCGCAGTAAAAAGGGACTGTGTTCTCTTTCCGGGGGCTAAACGGGGCGGCTGGTGTGCGCCGTGATTGCTCTCTGCGGCCGTTTATTGAGATGGAGGACGTTTCCCGACTCGGCCATAATGAAGCGTTTTATGATTCATTATGCCGGCGCTGAATCCTGCTGCCAAGCCTGCAAACTTTCTAATTAGCGCGGGTCAAACAGCCAAACAGTTTTTCGTCTAATTATCGCCGCTTATTACTGAATGGGCACCAGAGGAAAAGCCGCTGAGGATCATGCGCGAGGTGGGCGGGCTGGTACTAAAGCGAGCGGGAGGAGTTTGGGAAAGTGGAGGAGGGGCCTATTGGAAGCTGACATAGAGAGAATGCATGAGAGCAAAGTGTGTATTTTTACGTGCATCTTTCTTTAGCCTGATGCATATTTACAAATGTTATTGTTATAATGTTATATTTATGCTATTACACAAGGGTAATGACATATATATATATATATATATATATATATATATATATAACATTTATAACAATAACATTTGTAATCAGACTGGAACAGCAGCTTTTTTCAGGTTTTTTTTTTCCTGCAGTAAAAGGAAGTTTGTAATGACTTACATTAAGACATTACTTACACTGTATCTGCCAGCTTTCTTAACATGTAGCTAGCATTTATGTTGCTACCAGTTTCAGCTTTAAACCAGTCTGTAATGTGACAGAACAGCAGACGTCCCCTTATCTTAAAATGTAACTTGTATGACATTAATTAAATGTGTTGCATTTACTTGAAAGCACCGTCTATATTACCACTCCATTACTACACAGTAACTACATAACAACTACACAGGAACTGTCCTCTTATTATAAAGTGTAACTTTAACACTGCACTACAGGAAAGTTTCTGTGTAGAAGATACACTTGTGCAACTACAGGAGGCAAAACTGAAGTTGATACACATGTGTAATTACACAGGCTGTACTACTGTAACCCGTCTGTAACTTTGACTAAATCATCAGTAGTTACAGTGTTGTTGCATATGTTATTCATGTGTTACTGCACAGTTATTAGGGACACAATATAAAGTGGGACCGTTTTTTGTCCTGTATTTTTAGCTAACCTTAGCATGATGGCAGATTTGTTGTAATGTCCAACCCGGCTTGTTTTGATTAGCAACAACAACATTGAACAACTCGGTGATGTAGCATTATGCTAGCAACTCTGTGTTATGTGGTGAATCTAAAATCTAGGCTATATTTATTAGGTTAACTGTCTGTAAACCTTGTCCATCCTAGCAGTTGCTAGTTGCTACAAACACATATGTGGGTGCAGCATGGGAAGGTCAACTCGGTTCAGTATTATTTGTGCCTATTTCTGTAGATATTGTCAAAAAGCAGTGAGAAAAACTGTTTAAGAGCCAGAATCCAGAGGAGCCATGACTCAAAAGTGGAACAGTCCTCCTCTGGTCAACACCAGAGAGTGAAAATATGATCTAACACTCACAAAAGTAGGACTAAAACTTAGTCACTGCGTCATTTGGACCAAAGAAGTATCTGAGAGATGCAGCAGTGCCAGGGTTAAAGGTCTGTCAAAGACCTAGCGACCTGCTACAGGCTAAGTCAAGCTAATTAGGCTGAGATTATGACCTTATTTATCCTGTACAAGGATTTGGAAGGAATTTTAATGTGTTTCACTCATGCTGAAGCCACTGTGACTCGAACTCTCCTGACTGTTCTGACATTGATAGCCATCGTGCTGTCAGCTCCAAGAAGCTTAGCGTTTGACACAAAGGCCTCAGCCTTTGCGCTGACAAATATGCTAATACAAAAAAAAGACCCAACTCAGTAAGCATTCATTATTCAGCGTGAAGTTTTTTTGTTTAAATCCCCTCTGCAGGCAACTGTCCCCCTCTAAAAATGTCTGTCGTATGGGGTCTCTATTGTGGCTGAAGATAGTGGCGGAAATGGTGGTTATTAGAGCAAAATGGAAAGACTGGGCTAATTGTGTGCGGATGAAAGAGGAGGAAGAGCCGCTTTCACTTGTTTGAATGGAGGGATTAGCCACCTTCGCGTGGATGCTGCTGTCCTCTTTTCCGCTTTCTTTTTTTTCAGCCTTGGCAGAATGAGAGAAATGGAAAGAAAAGAGAAAACAAGCCAGGAATGACTGCAGAGAGGAGTAAGGGATGCTT